GAGAGGACCTGAGTTCAATCCCTACTACTATGATTGAATTCAAGGCAAATATTTAACAAGTAAAATTACAAAACTCTTAGGAGAAAACATACGGAACAATGCTCATGACATCAGATTTAAGGATGGTTTCTTGGCTATGACACCAAAAGCACAATCCACACAAGAATAAATAGATAAGTTGGACTTCACCTAACTTATACAATCTTTGTCATGGAAGCAACTACAGCCTATGTCTTCCCTATCCCTGTAGAAGGACTGTAACATAAGGGATGATTTTGTTTTGACCGGAATGACATACACACATCCAGAACACATACAAATTTAGAAGGCACCCAAAGTACTTAATAAAAGTGCTTTCTCTGTATAGATGTGTAATTTATCATTAAATGTTCATCTTGTCATATGCACTAAGCATAAACTTTAGGAACCCGTTGTCATTGTTATGGAATTACTAATGTAGATTTTCTTTCTGTGTTTGTACAAGAGTCCTGCATACAACACAGTGTGGTAGTGACATCATCATGGACTCACACATACCCTTGACTTTAGAGGAACCTCCAATGTCACCCTAAACTTAAAAGAACAGAATAAAAATAAAGTAAGAGGGGAAATGTGTCTTTTCAGTTGCCCCAGGAAGAACAGGGTTGAGATAGAGCCTTCAGCGAGACACAGGCAACAACAGCAGAGAACCTGTGCCACACCTTTCAGGAAAGTGTAAGACAAATCCACAGGCTCTGCTCTCAGGGTAGCTCCTCAGCACAATTTAGAAGCCCTCCCTTACCAACCTCACCAACCTCACCAACCTCCTCCTCCTCCTCACCAACCTCAGCTGACAGATGCACAGCTGCTCTTAAGGCTAGGAAAAGAGTGTCATCTGAACATCAGGTTTTGGCTACTGCCACTCACTGCAGTGCATTCCTTCACATCAGGAAGTGGACGGAGCACTGGAAGAGACAGGATGAATAGAGATCAGAGAAATGTTACTTAAGTGAGTCTACATATGTGCTTCTGGTGAACATAAATTCAACTGCCTTTTCCTTGAATCTCTTTTATTGTTTAATGAACAGATGAAAACTAAAGACACCATTTCTCCCAGTCCTTTTGCTTTTAGCTTATCAGATAGTCTTCCTAACTTTTGCTTGGGCTGGCTACTGAATGCAATCCTCCTACCTCTGTCTCCTAGAGGCTGCGATTACAGGTGTGCATCAATGACTGGCAAAAGAGAACATTTCTTACAATGGTTTTAGAATCCCATAAGTAATATGTAATACTTATCGCTAGTTCTACACAATCTTTCTCAGTTTGATCAGGACAATAACTGAAGAATCTGAGTTTCTGGAGCCATGTGCAATGTTTAACAGTGAATATTTAAAGGAAAGCTACCTATAAAGTAAAAAAATCTAAAGAGCATCTCAGTGAGGTGCATTAATCGACTCTTATACATGAAGCCAGCACCCAAGATCAAGAAACAGATACCACCTTGCTGCTGTGCCTAGCACACACCTGAGGAACAGCGCCTGATTCTAGTACCTCAGCTTTTATTATCAATATTAGAGTATTTTGACAATGTTCAGCAAGAGACTATTTTAGATTCTCATATGTTTCTTACAAGCTGTTTCCTGGCTTAGGTGGTGAATGAAGGTGATGGGATGAGAATATAACAAAGTCCAAGAAACGTAAACCCTTCAGGGAACTGATCGTCATTATGCTGCCTCTTACTGATTACTGCACATTACCGTAACTAGGCTTAGCAAGTTTCTGGGCTCCTCAAATTACGGAGCAGCCTAGAGAGGACAGAATTGTACCTCAGTGATAGAGATGTGCAAAAAGAGCACTTTCCTTTGATGAAGCCAAAACTCATCTTGTTGATATCTTGACAATAGTGAAAATAGGCTTTGAGCACTGGGACTTGGGAAAGAATAAACATGACCTTGCAGCCTTATCACAATTCACACCCTGAGCCAGCTGCAGAGACTACACAGGTGAGTGCTCCCGACACTGGGGGTTGGAGCTACCTTTGGTTTGGAAGGGAAACTGCTGAGGCAGGGCTGTTCTGGGGCAAGTTGTGAGAAAGAAGGTTCTGAGTTCCCTTGTCCCTTGTGGAAAAGGAAGGTGTCAGGACCCAGAGAGAAGACCCATCATTTACCAACAGCATCCAGAAGCCTCTGCTTCAGTGGTCCATAAGGAAGCCCCTGTGTAGCAGTGTGTTTGATGCACTGTATCCAAATCTTCTTTTTTATCCATGCCAGGGAGGGATAGAGACATTGAGTGACAATGGCATTTCAGCCCAGATGTGTGGAAGTGCAAGTTCTCTTTGTTGTCCCTGTACCCCTGGCGTATGTTTCCCTCATAGTAGTCGGAGTTTCTGTTTAATCTATGTATCTTATTTCTGTGTTCTTCATCACTTTAAGAACGAGGCACTCTTGCCTTCTTTACTATGATTTTCTGTATTTCTAATTTTTTAATTCCAAGACCCAAAATACACAATTACAGAGAATTGTGGGGAAAAAACGGACACAAGGATACATAACGCTAACAATGGCTTTTAGAAAATGTTTTTAATACTTGCCAGGCACTAACCTACATACTACATACCTCAGTTCATTGATTCCTCAAATTATACCTATATAGTACAAATACAATCCCTAGTTTATAAATGAGAACATTGGATCTTAGTGAGGCCAAATAATATGTTGAAAGACATGCCTTTAGGAATTGGGAAAACCAGGATTTGAAATTCAGAGTGGCTGAATGCACTTATGAATCTTGTTCTTATGAATCTTGAACTCTGTAAGTATGAAGTTTAATAATAACCCTCAAGCATCTAGAAATGCATCTCCCCTCCTGCCATTTGCTACAGAAAACCCTGATTTGACTAGATTCACAAAGCCTGCATTTTATTGGTGCTAACATGCTAGATATGAAAGCTTATTAAAATAAATATATAAATGTCTCTACCAAAAGCCACCAGAGTAGACATTTTTGTGTAGCTTTTCTAGCCTAGGTGTGATGTTCATTCAGGGAAACAAAGAAAATTTCCTTATTCCAAACTGCTATTGATAGCAGAAAACAGAGAGATATATCTGAAAAAATAATCTAATCATAACAATCAATACAGAGATTTGGGTGTACTGGGGACTGAACTCAGGGTGTTGTGCTTGCCAGGAAAGCACTCTACCACTTAAACCATATTCCTAGTCCTAATATGGAGATATTACAAATGAAAATTAGTTCTAATTCATAATTTAAAAAAAAATAGTCCATGTCATTCACTGGAGGTCTGGAAGTTCACCTCACCTACACATGTGAAGAATAATAACTTGCTAATGTGTCGTCCAAAGTGGATTGGCTTACCCAGGCCATTCAGTTTTAACATTCATAAAGAAAAGTCCAACTCAAATAGTTCCCCCAAATGAGCCTGTCAGCTCATCTCTATGATTAATATGCAGTATGAAAACCGTAAATGTCATGTAATAATTTATTCATGGACTATTCTTGGGTATGTAGTCACAGGTTCTATGCTAGTTATCTTAAATTTAGCTACAAAACCACTGTCTCTCAGGTGTTCTCACTAACCAGTGAAGGAAGGAAGTAGATACACAGGTAACACAACCTGGTGAGTTCAGGGAAAGTATACAAGACAAAACTCTTAGCTGGTTTGTTACAATGGACAGTTATAAAGGTTGGTAGTTAGGCAGAGATCAGCCGGAGGAAGTTATGCATATGGTAGGGTAAGTGCTGATGTTACATTTGTTTTAAGGGCAGTTGAAAGTAATTTAGATATGGGTTGCATTTGAAGGAGAGGAGGCCAAATGGTAGAGGATGAAGAGAATTAAAGTTGACAACCAGGCATTGTGGTACACTAATGTAAATACATTTTTGCACAAGGCACAGGTATGAGAATCACTGTGCAAAGCCACTCCAGGCAAAAATAATGACAGTCTATCTGGAAAAATAACTAAAACAGAAAGGGGTGATGGCTCAAAGGGTAGAGCACACTAAGTGTGAGCCCTGAGTTCAAGTCTTCATACTACCAACAAAAAAAAACCAGAAAACTGAGAATTGACATGTGAAACTACATGTTCTGGGTGAATGGCAGTGAGAGGAATGTATTTCTGTTTCAAGCTCATTTTGAGTATAATACAGAACAAGAAGAAACAGAAAAAGGAGATGCCATTTATAAAGTGGTTATACAATTCACAATGTGAGATGTTAGGAAGGATTAACTAACAGTGGGCATGTTTGATTAAGAAAAATAAGTTGATTTGACAAAACTTAAGGCAGAATTAGTAAGATTTCTCTTTGCTTGGAGTCCTGTTGAGAACTGTTTTTTCTGATGTTTTATTGGGGGAAGGCACACAGAAGAAATGGAGAATAATAACAGTATAGAAGGAAAAGAAAGATGCAGCTCCACTTTGATTCCACCAGTGTGGAATATTGGGAGCACAAATTTTACTACAGAGTTAGGACCCCCTTCAAGCAAGAGGACTGGACTTTTCCACTCCCTACTTAATAACCTTAGTGTTGGATAAACTAAGACTGGTTTCTTATGGTCAATGTTTACCTGTGAGATTGGGGGAAAGGAGTATGCCACATGACCTCCCCTGGCAAGCTACTTCATTTGATCAAATACAGTTTATTCAAAAAGCTAAAATTCTTCATTAGCTCAATGCTCATTTGAGGGATGAGTATGTATAGGATAGTAAACAGAATCTGGGAGGAACACCAATACAACCCACTAGAGTGAGGAAATTCATTGGGTGTGGTAGCTAAAACTGAGGCAACATCTAAGCTAACACTTGGGATGATGGCTTAGATATCAATTGAGTGAAGCTTGTCTTTGTTTAGCTTTTGTCTCTGAAGAAAAGAATGAGATTAGTGAGGTTAGGGACCTGCCAGGAAACAATCATGTACAGCTACTTTTTTCAGAAACTGTTCATTTCAGTAGACTATACACACATTTATTTTATTTCCCAAAATGTTTTCTCCTAGTTCTATGCATGAAGACAGAAGATGATTTGGAATCACCTCATCCAGAGTCATTTTTTTTTCTTAATGAATCTGGAATTGTGGGGAACATCTTTATATTTGTGATTCATGTATACACTTTTGTCACAGGTCCTGACAGAAAACCCACAGACCTTATCCTAATTCACCTGGCTTTTTCAAATACAATCATTATTTGTAGCACAGGTATCAGAGACATAGCCACTGTCTTTTATTTCAGAAACATCATAAGTAATGTTGGTTGTAAAACTGTGACTTATCTGGGAAGGGTGGCTAGGGGCCTTTCCATCTGCACCACATGTCTCCTCAGTGTGGTCCAGGCTGTCACCATCAGTCCTAGGAACACACTGTGGAGAAAGCTCAAACCACAGAACACATGGCAAGTTCTTCCCTCTCTCCTCTTTTTTTGGATTCTTAATTCTCTGATCAGCTCCAACTTGCTCCAGTACATCACAGCAGTCAATAACACAAATGGATCTGGAATTGGAATGTATATTGGATATTGTTACATGCTACCATCTAGGCAAGTAGTTAGGTGGCTTTTCCTCTGTCTCATGGCTTTTCAGGATGTCATCTTTCAGAGTCTCATGGGCTTGAGCAGTGTACATGGCTTTCCATCTGTATAAGCATCACAGAGTGTCTTCTACCTTCATAGCTCCAGGTTTGCAAACAATTCCAGGACATCCAAACGACGTCCTTTGGTTTCTCCTGCGTTTGTTAGGCGGGAAAGGCGGTGGTAAAACCTACTTGAATGAGCTTCACTTTCCTCCCAGGGCTGCTGCCACCCGCTCTCTGCGGGTAAAACAGGGAGCCTCCCTCCGACGCCAGAAAAGCACCAGGGCTAGCGGCTCCCGGAAGCGCTCACCGGGGGACACTCGCCCGCCCACACGGTCGCTGCTAAGCGTCCCACCCGGGGACGCCGGGGACTGTGGAATTTCCCCGAGCATCCGCACGTCCCGGGGTAGTCTAGGAAGTAAGTATTCGCCTGCGCCTCTGGACTCGGACTCCCCGTGACTTCGCAGCTCAACTACGTTCTCTGGGCGCATGCCCAGGATCCTAGGACCGTTATGACCCGAGCAAAGTTGCCGGATGTTCCTGTATAGCTCGTGTAATGATGGACCGGAAGTGGCAGGAAAGTGCTCCAGTGGCGCAATCGGTTAGCGCGCGGTACTTATATGGCAGTATGTCTGCAAGCGATGCCGAGGTTGTGAGTTCGAGCCTCACCTGGAGCATCATTTTCAAAAACTGAAAGAGTGTCATTAACTACTTTCCTTCCCTTGTGCTTTTCATTACCATACTGGTCTTTATCGTGGTTACAAGTGTCTTAGAGCATTTATTCTTTCCAGTTTTCTTAGCTTGTTGTGCTTCAGTGAGAGACTGATTATCTCTACTTTGTCCAGCAAGCAGACCTCAGGTAAAGGATATTTCATGACTCCCTTCTCAATTTTCGTCTTATGCTCTGAGTTGAGGAAAAAAGAAAATACTGATTTCTGTCAGCAGTGTCTCCTCTGGTATCATTCCCAGTGAAATTTTAAGAAGCTAAAAGCCACATGATAGAGATAGTGAAATGGGAGGTTGGTAAGAATCTTTCCAACTTCCTGGAAACTCTGAACTAGTCTTAGATTGACTAGTACCACACTTCTTTAAACAAAAGCAAAAAACAAACAAAACCCAAAAATCAAATCTATTTTTAGAAGCCTTGATGAATTTAATTTTTGATACATTAGAACATCAGGATAAACAAATTCCTAAAGTGTATACCTATAGTTTATGGAGGACTGAGTGTAGAATGTAATTTTGGCACTTCTCAGTGAGCACTGCAAATTTAGCAACACAGACATCCCTGCTAATCAGGACCAAGGGGCTGAGAAAGGGGTAACCAAGTTAAGGAATGTTTTGACATTTAGTAGTGTGGAATCAAGTGTCAAAATGGAACCTGCATGGAAGGAGAAAATGAAATCCATCCAATAAAAGACAAGGAAACTGGTCATGAGAATGAAGGTACTTAGAGTAGCTCTGATTTCTGGGCTGGACGTCGTTCTTGAAAGGGAGTGGTGATGCTCTGTATCTTAAAGGTGGCATCTTGGTAACTTCAAAAAAAATAATTCAATCCGAAATACATTTGTATCATTAATCAGCTGTAGTAAGTCGACCTTTAACTATTATGAATCTTGACAATAAATATAGTTTCCAGTTGTACAATGATAACCTAGATTGTGTGCTGCTGGTTTTAAATTTGGGGCAAAAATGCAAAGTACTTGGTGTGTTCTATAAATATAATTTTAGGGGGGCGTACTGGGGGTTAACTCAAGGCCTTTCAACCATTCCACCAAACCAAAACTATATACTTTTCTAAGTGATACTTTAACATTCAAAATCTCATTCTTGTTAAACCTTTAAATTACTTAATGAGATAACAGGGAGTGATACCTAATAGGAAATTTTGGCATGGTGTTTAAAAATGAAACAAAAGACAAACTTTCAATAAAAATTTTGATGATGAAGTAGCATTTACATTTGGCCACCTTTTCAAAAAGTACTTTTGCATATATATTCTCAATATAATTGTATAGCAGTCCTTTAAGGAAATTTTTATTGATATAATACATAGTCATAATAGATAGGGAAAGAATATTCCCTTCTTTGCATAATTTACATGATTATTTAAATGAATAAACAAAACAGTCCCTTGTAGAATTTATTTCTGAGAGATCCAGAAAAGTCATACCATCTAAAAAGAAATATTGAATGAAATAGAGAACAGGCAGCATTTCCAATTAAATCAGCATAGTGTTTTCAAAAGAAAGAGAAATTAGCTACAAACCTTTGGGTGACTGAGAGTCCAAATTTATATTTTTAAATTCTTTTATGGAAATTTTCAAACATATAAAAGTTGATTAGGTAATGAAGTACCAGGTACTTGATCTCACAATCACTAACATTTCACCAATCTTGTTTTCTTTATTTCCCAACCACATAATAAGAATGGGAGGGGTCTATTTTAAAGTAAAATTCACACATAACAGATTACCTTAAATTCCTTATTTTTAAACTTAGAAATAAGACTCTTTTATTTATTAATGTAAGTACCATACTATTATCACAATCACCAACTTTAGCAGTAATCTTTTACTGTACGAAGTGATTTGACTGAGCTACACATTTAGAAACTTGTATGCCAATTTGGCAAATTGTTCGTGTCTATTGAATCTAATAGTGAAGAAAAAGAAGGGACTTGGGCCTGGGGATATAGGTCAGTAGGTGAGCACTTTGCACAAGGCCCTGAGTTCATCCTAGCACCACAAAAAGGAAGGGAGGGAAGGATGAGGAAGGAGGGAGGGAGGGAGAGAGAAAGAGAGGAGAAAGGAGGAGGAAGAAGAAGAAAGGAGGAGGAGGAGGAAGAGGAAGGAAGGAGGAGGAGAAAGAAGAGGGAGGGAAGAGATGAAGAGGAAGGAAGGGAAGTAGAAAGAAAAAATGTGACTTGGCTTAACACTAAGTGCAGAACTACTATATGAATTGAGTTTCTGCAACTTAATATCTTTTCCAAACTCTTCTAAACAAAGAACAGTTGTTATTTTTAATCGAAGTATATGCCGTAACATGAGTCTGGATTAATGTATTACATTTTTAATGTATGGGTTCAAAGGTTCTATATAAGTGAAAGTGTTAAATAACCACTGTCGACAGTGAACGGTTTGTTTGCTAATTAGAATTAAAGTTGCCTTTTTTCCTTTTTGACATCTTTGGAAATCTATTTGCACTCTATTTCGTCTTCCTGAGTCAGTGCAAAGCTCAGGAAAAAATAAGTGCTCTTCTCTCTTGGGCCCACACCAACCTTGAGATTTAAAGCTATTGCCCTGTAACATCTGTTCTTCCTGAGTCTCAGGACTAGGTGACCTTGTGTACATGGTCAGCAAAAGCAATCTTTGCTTCTTGAATTACCTGTAATTTCCTGCCACGAATATCCCTTCCTTCCCTGATCAATAACATTATCCTGCTACCCTCTCTTCACATAGCAACTAGCCAACAAAATAAACCTGTAGTAAAATATATCACTGATATATATTCTAAATCCAAGGTAATTCTAGAAATATGTTAGTATAGTATATACACAACAAAAGTGGTCAATTTTAAGGAAACTCAGTTTCCTCCCTCTTGTAGATAGCCTTTTACTCTTGGATTAGCATTCATTTATTCTACAGATATTTATTTAGTACCTGTCTAGTGACAGGTTTTACATGCTCATAAAACATAAGGAAACAAAACAACGATAACCCCTTCCTTCTTAAACTCTCATTTCTTCTAAATAGAGGTTGTTAAACTTCTTAGCAGTGGTTCTTAGCAACCCTCTGCTTTTTCAGCCCCTTATTTCCATGTAGTCATATATTTGTTACTTCCTGTGTCACAAAACATGCAGTGTTCACCTTAGCCCAAGCAATGTGCTAGATAATAAACATGGGATCAGAAGGTATGTTCAAGGACTGGAAGTATGGTTCAAGTGGTAGAGTGCCTGCTTTGCAAGCATGAAGCCCTGAGTTCAAAACCCCAGTCCCACCAAAAACAAAACAGAAGGTGTATTTGTCTGTTTTTCATTGTTATAATGAAATATCTGAGCTAAGTTAACTTTATAAAAAAAAAGAGGCTTATTTAGCTCACAGTTTTGGAAATTCAAGGACATGGCACCTTATAAGGATGTCATGGCCAATGGTGCCACAATAGTGGTAGCATACACAGGAGGAAGAGATTATGTTGCTTAACAGGAAGTCAGAGAGAGACTATGATCTCAAATCCTTCCTAAGAACAGCCCCAATTTGACCTAAGAACCTCCTATCAGACTTCACCTCTTAAAGGTCCCAGACCTCTCACATCACTACACTGAAGATCAAGCTTCCAACACATGAACTTTCGGGGACACATTTAAAACATTTCCAGATCATAGCAGAAGGCATGACATATCATCAGTCTGGCGAAGAGTATGAAAGCTATAGTATGACCCACTTACCCTTAACACAAAGCCAGCTTCCACTCCCATCTATCTAGTTAGTTCCCTGCATACTGTATTCTGTTGCAGTTGCCCTTCAGTCTTACATGGGAATTCAGTATTCCTGCCTAGTTGGCACAAGCCAAAGCTTTTGGGGTACACATGTACCAAGGGAAACAAAAGCATTGCTGGATGGGACAGTATGGAAATGACCTTTTTATAAGGCAGGGGGGAGCAGAACAGGATCTCACATTCTGTGAGGAATTAGAGTTCACATATTTACAATGTCACTAAATTTCCTCCCAATAGGAAAATAGGAAGGAGCCATAAGTTTCTTTCTCCTCTTGAGAAGGCTAGTATGGGCCTCAGTGTAAAAAGGCACTGTAGAAAACACAGTGGAATCAGAAGATGAACAGTGGAGGAGAAAATTCCTGGAAAGAAAAAGCAGGAAAAAATTATTTTAAAATGATATAAGGGTAAAGGTAACCTGGAATTATTAATAGTGGAAGGGATCCTATGGTTTGACAGGACAAATGATAAGGGGGGAGAGGGGATGGACAGTGAGGCTGCAAAGCATCAGAAAAAAGTTTGCTTCTCTTGACATGACCAAGGAATGTATTTGACATTTTCTGTGGTTTCTTTTTTTTTTTTCTTGCTGTTAATCAGCATACTGAGGTTCTGCTAAATATAAAGCACTGTGCTAAACATGGTGAAAAACTAATAGCTATTTCCCTCTAGGGATTTCTAATCTAAACAAAG